GGCTCTGCAATCTTCTGGAACCCCTGAGATGGAGCCTCCTGCCTTTGAGCAGCTCTGTCTCAACCCAACTTCTCTGCCCAATCACCAAGTCTCGCCCAGAAGCAAAACCAGAACACTCTTTATCCTTACTCACCAGGGGTGTGAGAGGTAAAAGAAGTCAGTAGCTTTCCTCCCAAGAATCAATGCCATAAGGGTTTCTGACTTTCAGGAGCCCTTGCAGCAGCCTCAGAGTCTAAGCAGGCCCATCCCAGCTCCTTGCAGAAGCACAAGATTCCCCAAGGTCTGCTGGCCTTTATCTGAGGGCTTCAGAGCAGCCCTTTTGTTTCAATGACTACTTTCCCTGGAGACCAAATCTGACACAGGCTGGTTCCCTGAGACTGGAGTAAGTCTCTGTTCCACCAACATCATTCACTCATGGTGGGCTCCAAATTTTACTTAGATGGTACCTGATTACCCACAGGCTGTCCAGGTCATGCAGAGCTGGGTGGGAGAGGATTAGGGGGTGACGTCTCTCCAGAGACAAACACAGGCAGTGGATCCTTCCCAGGAGCTGGGAGCTGGGAGCTGGGCAGTGGGTCAGGACCTGAGTGTTTTAAGATTCCTTACCTCACCCATTAACATACTCTCAGGGAACAGTATTACAACCAGGATGACCACAGAAGTATCACCTAAGCTGGGAGCCATTAATAATTATGCTGGGAGGGGCGCCTGGGTGGCTCAGTGGGTTAAAGCCTCTGCCTTCAGCTCGGGTCATGATTCCAGAGTCCTGGGATGGAGCTCAGCAGGGAGCCTGCTCCCCACCCCACACCCCCGTCTGCCTCTCTGCCTACTTGTGATCTCTGTCTGTCAAATAAATAAATAAAATCTTTAAAAATAAATAATTATGCTGGGAAACAATACAAACCGGGAGAGTCCTAGGCATGATGATCAATCATCTATACCCAGGGAGGAAACAAACCAAATAGGAGGAGAATCCAGTCATTATCATTTCTTGCTCTCTGGTATAGGATTACAAAACAAAAGCACAAACTTCTCCTGATCAGAGAAGGCATGCTGTCAATTTCCAGTGGGACACTGAAACCAGCAAGCCATAAAACCAGGTGTCCTTTGCCTCCCCTGAGGTATTCCCACTCATGTAGTCGGCTCAGTACTCAAATCAGAATAAAATATAGCTCATGGTCCTAGTTACATGGGGATGGCCAGAACCTCAGGGTGGGAACACAGATTTTTTCAGTTCATTATTAAGAAGCCACTCCCAGGAGGGGCAGCAGTGGGAAGTATTTCCTCAAACGTGATGCCTTATTAAGACATGTGGTGTATGGAACTAGAAAAGACCCCAAATAGCCAGAGGAATGTTAAAAAAGCAAAGCAAAGCTGGCAGCATCACAATTCTGGACTTCAAGCTCTATTACAAACCTGTAATCATCAAGACAGCATGGTACTGGCACAAAAACAGACACATAGATCCATGGAACAGAGTAGAGAGCCCAGAAGTAGACCCTCAACTCTGTGGTCAACTAATCTTCAAGAAAGCAGGAAAAATTGTCCAGTGGAAAAAAGACAGTCTCTTCAACAAATGGTGTTGTGAAAATTGGACAGACTCATGCGGAAGAATGAAACTGGACCATTTCCTTACACCACACACAAAACTAGCCTCAAAGTGGATGAAAGACCTCAACGTGAGACAGGAATCCATCAAAATCCTTGAGGAGAACACAGACAGCAACCTCTTTGACCTCAGCCGCAGCAACTTCTTCCTAGACACATCGTCAAAGGCAAGGGAAGCAAGGGCAAAAATGAACTCTTGGGACTTTATCAAGATAAAAAGCTTTGGCACAGCAAATGAAACAGTCAACAAAACCAGAAGACAACTGACAAAATGGGAGAAGATATTTACAAATGACATATCAGATAAAGGGCTAGTATCCAAAATTTATCAAACTCAACACCCAAGAATAAATAATCCGATCAAGAAATGGGCAGAAGACATGAATAGACATTTCTGCAAAGAGGACATCCAGATGGCCAACAGACACATGAAAAAGTGCTCCACATCACTTGGCATCAGGAAAATACAAATCAAAACCACAATGAGATACCACCTCACACCAGTCAGAATGGCTAAAATTAACAAGTCAGGAAACAACAGATGTCAGCGAAAATGCAGAGAAAGGAGAAGCCTCCTACACTGTTGGTGGGAATGCCAGCTGGTGTAGCCACTCTGGAAGATAGCATGGAGGTTCCTCAAAAAATTGAAAACAGAGCTACCCTACGACCCAGCAATCACACTACTGGATACTTACCCCAAAGATATAAATGTAGTGATCTAAAAGGGGATGTGCACCCCAATGTTTATAGCAGCAAGAGCCTAATTATGGAAAGAGCCTAGATGAGATGTCCATCGGCGGATGAGTGGATTAAAGATGTGGTGTACACACACACACACACACACACACACACACACAGAGAGAGAGAGGAATACTATGCAGCCATCAAAAATGAAATCTTCCCATTTGCAACAACATGAATGGAACTAGAGGGTATTATGTTAAGCGAAAGTAGTCACTCAAAGAAAGACAATTATCATATAGTCTCGTTGATATGTGGAATTTGAGAAACAAGGCAGTGGATCATGGGGAAAGAGAGGAAAAAATGAAATGGGATGAAACCAGAGAGGGAGATAAACCATAAGAGACTCTTAATATCAGAAAATAAACTGAGGGTTGCTGGGGGGTGGGATAGGAGGGATGGGGTGGCTAAGTGATGGAACTGGGGAAGGGTATGTGCTATGGTGAGTGCTGTGAATTGTGTAAGACTGATGAATCACAGACCTGTACCCCTAAAACAAATAATACACTAAGTTAATGGAAAATAAAAAATAAAAATAAAAAAGACTACATGCCGGGAATCGCCCAAGTCCATATTTGGCCTGCAGGGGGAAACATCTCTCCAGAAATGATCACACCAGAAGCATTACTGCAAGAAACCCATTTAATTGGCTAAGGAGTAGGGGTTTTGTTTTTTTTAAAAAATCAGATCAGTACATTTCCAATCAGTAATTTCCACTGTGATATATTTTCATATAGAGATGTTGCTTTTTTTCTATTTACAGTGTTAGGTACATAGTGAGCTTTTAACAAATAAATACTTATGGACGGCTCAGTTGGTGAAGATAACCCAGATAACCCAGACTTGCCTGAGGTATAGAAAGTACAAGGTAAAATGGGAGGAGAGGAAATAAAGATTGGTGAATGTGCACAGAAAAGCACTTTCTCTTCTGGTTAATAGCTTGCCTGGGGGAAAAACACATTCGAAAATTTCCAAAAGATCTTTTTCCAAGAGCAAACCATTATTAACAGAATTATTTTAAAAAACCAAAAACACGGTAATCTTGACTGTATACCTCTTCCTCCTCATTTCAAAGTCCATCCTCTATAGATGTTAGATAAATGAGTTCCAAGTCTATGCAGGTTTCTACATGTTTGCAGTTTTTACATTTAGACTCATCCCTTTTCAGACGCATCGATTCTAAGTGTCTCTGCCCCGGTTCCCACCCGGCTTCCGCAGAGACTGGCTAAAGCCATCAGAGTCCACCCAGGACTTTAGTGGAGTCCCCCTTAGCTTTGCCGGGCAGCCGTGAGCACCGTGAGCAGTGCACCGCGGCCTGGCCTGGGCAGGCCGTCCGGCAGATATGCACGCATTTGGGGGGGTGGGGGCAGCACCTCTGCTGGGGTGTGCCTGGCAGCCATCTGTGCACCGCTCAGACCGGGCTCCTCGCTCTGTTTGCCAAGCAGCAGAAGATCAGCACCTTTAATACCAACAGTGACCATGAACACCCTGATCCCAGGTAGACCCCCTTTCTCTGGAGAGATCAACAGACCCAGGCAGCTTTGGAGAGTGTGGCTAGGAAGAGAGAAGAGCAGACGGTCTGTGGCTGAGGGCTGCCCCCCCACAGACCACCAGCAAGATGTTTCAGCTTCACTCCCAATGACATGGGGCCAGCCAATGGCTACTGGTCTTATACAGGTCCAGGCCCTTCCAGGGTCACATTGCTTCAGTGGGTAAAGCCTCTGCAAGGAGAGGAGGCCACAAGGTGGCTAAAGCAGGAGCAGCTCAGAGGGAGGCAGCTGTGATCCCACAGACCAACAGGGCCCCCACAGCAATAAGAAGCTTCTTCCTTATCCAACCAGTAGTAAGCAATGCCACCTTGTCCCACCCCCTGAGCTTACTACTTGTCATCTGGGAGAGCTCTCAGAATCACTGCCGGCCCCATATCTCAGTCAGGGCCCTGGGCCCTAGATACCCAGCAGGAGGAATGTGAGGGAAAAGGGGCAGGGTCATGTCACCCTCCAAGCCACCTGAAGCCGCAGGTGGGAGAACTCTCCTGAGGAGGGGAGTGAGTGGGTAGCCCCTCCGTCAGGGCCCAACCTCAGGAAAGGAGACACCATGGCAAGTGTGGTATGCCACAAACCCAAATGTCACTGTGTTAGGCCCCTCTCTTCCCTGCCCCACAATGTAGTAAAAGTGAGGGCCTTGGCTGCAGGATATCTATGCGTCTTAGAAGCAAAGACAGGGTTAGGAACCCCAGGGGGAAGCAGGTGACAAGGTAGCGGGGGAGGCCTTCATACACAAGGACAGGGAGACAGCATCACAGAGAGATGTAGTGGGCACAAGAAAGGGCCGTGGGCCCGGCCTACGCCACTCCCAACCAAAAGGTCTCCAAGCGCAGCCAGGCCCCCGCTGGCCTCACCAAGTGAGCCCAAGGTGAGTACCAGGCAGCACCCAGCTGGGGCCCGACTGGGCCTGATGTAAACACCAGGGTAGGGTAGGATCTGGGAGAGCAAGGGGCCATCCCTGTGCTTTGAGGGTGAGGCTGCTGCAGATGGAGCTCCGTTCCAGAGGGAAGCAGAGAGGTGTGGGGTAGAGTCAGACCTCTCCCGGCCGCCCCCTCACCCACCCAGCAGCTGAGGAAAGACCCAGGAAGCAGGGGAGGCCCCCTCATCACTTCCCACCCCGTGGAACCACCAACGGTGCTCCTGGCTGGTTTGCCATGATGTGGTAGATGGATTCTCGGAAGCGCTGGTCCCGGCTGAGCCTCTTGGCCACCTCCTTTAGCTCCTCCATGTTGTTGGCATCCAGCTGGGAGGTCATGAAAGACTGGGACGGCTTCACTGGAGAGAGGGAGCCCGTGAGCAGCCTCCCCCCTCCGAGGGACCTCCCCAGCCCGCCACCCTCGCTCCCCACCCCACAAGCTTCTCGGCACCCACCGGAGCTCCGGGAATCCTGGAAGATGCCCGAGGCCAGGCCGGGGGAGCCAGGTCCAGGCTGCCCAGTCCGGCCTCCAAGCTGGATCAGCACTTCCCACCCTGGCAGGGGCGCGCGGACAGACGCACTCACTGTCATTCCAGGAGGTGCTGGAGCGGCGCCGGTGGAAGCGGCAGCTCTTGATGCGGCGAGTGGCCGCCTTGTGGATGTACACGGAGTTCTTCATGATGACCGGCATCTTGGCCTCCAGCTCCGCATTCCGGATGCACTCCTCGAAGAATCCTGCGGCCACAGTGCCGCTGCATCCTTCCCGCCCGGCCCCGGCCCGGCTCCCGGCTCCCGCTTCAGCCGCAAACACGCGCCTCCCCGCCCACCCGCCCGGGCAGGGCACGGAACTCCCCGCCGCGCCCCCACCCGGGTGCGAGAGCCCCAGGAAGCCTAGCCCAGGACGCGCCTGCGGCAGGAGCCTGGAGAAGAAACTCCCTCGGTAGCTCTGGACCGCCTAATGCGCCCCGGGCCCCGTGCGGCGCTCCCTGCCGGGATCCCGGCTCCGCAGGGTCTGGACTCCCGCGGGGGTTGAGCCCGAGGGCTGCGCCTTACTTTTCAGGTGGCTCACGTCAGCCCGCATCCTCTCCTCCTTCTCTTTGTTCCGCACCTTGGAGTTGAGCCCCTGTTCCAGGCTCCGCAAGGCCCCCTCTGCCTCCCGCAGACGCCTCTCCAGGTCCATGCGGACCTTCACCTCGGCCTGGGGCGGGGAGAGGGAAAACAGACAAAAAGGGGTCCTGGGGAGCAGTTGCCATCTCCGGTGGAAGCTTTCCCTGGTCACCTCCCCCCACCCCACCCATCAAGAGAGCTTGCTTGCCTCTGGACTTGGATGGAAGTTACCATATCCTGTCTAGGGTAGGCGCCCTTGACCCGATGGCCGGGACTCAGCCTCTGCACCCCAGTAGCGGGTTAGCTGCTCCCCAAGGGGTGGCTCCATCGCCTGCCCCTAGCAGGTCAGACTGGCAGAGATAATTGAGGTAGCGGCGGGGTAAGGGATGTGAGAGGGAATGTGCAAAACCGGGCAGCTGCCCGCAGGCCCTGGCCAACACCTTGAGCTCCCGCTCGGCCTGCTGCTTCTCTGCGGTCAGCTCCTGCAGCGAGTTCTGCAGGGCCTGGGACTGGGTCGAGTAGAACTCCCGCTCTTCCTCCAGGGCCCGAGAGCGCTCCTCGTTCTCCTTCATCCTGCGGGGCCGAAGGGGTGCTCAGTGCTTCCTCATGGAGGGGGCTTTCCAGTGGGAGGGCAGCCCCTCCTGGAGACCTGGCTGGAGAAGTCTGACACCCAGGCTTCCTGAGCCCCAGAACTTTCTAGGTTCTGTCACCCAGGGGATGAGAGGAGTGGTATGGACAGTGAGGGGAAGCCCCTGGCTCAGAGTCAGAAGACCAGAGGCTCGGGTCCTAGTCTTGCTAGTTCTGTGACTTCAGGAAAGTCCTATCAACCCTCCTAGGCTCAGTTTCCTCATTTGTACAAAGGAGCTATGAAGACATCCCCAGCCTGTGACAAAGCACTGTTAGATCGTCCTAATGCCTCTCCGTATGGTTCCCACCACTGCAAGAGATAATGATCAAGTCAGCTCTGGGTAGTGAAAATTTTCTTTGACTTTGCCTCATGGGGAAACTGAGTCCTAGGCAAAAGGAAGTAATTGATCTATCTGGTCAATGCCAGCTAGAACTCAAGAATGTGAGTGTGGAGTTCAAGGAACGTTATCACACTGGACTCAGGGCTTGAAGGGCCTCTCACCGCTTCTCAGCCAGGAGCTTCTCTTCCAAGAGCTGCTGCATCTTCTCCTCTATCTGCCTCAGGTTGCTGTGGAGACCCCCACTGGGAGGGGGCTGCTCACTCTGATTGGCCAGTGTCTGCAGCTGGTTCTCATTCTCTTCCAGCATCGCCAGGGTTTTCTTCTTCTCTATGGAGAGTTCCTGGCATGGAGGGAGGGAGGGAAGAGAAAAAGCCTAATCTAGGCTCTCCAACATGGCTGCCCTCATCTGCCCTTCAATTTCAGGGAGTGATGCCCTCCTCACTCAACCTTCTAGGAGAGACACCTGAAATATCTTCCTTCTTCCCTGGTGATAAAAGGTCAAGCAAGATTTCCTTAACAGAGAGGCAAGGTTACTCCTCCACCAAGGGACTCGGGGAGGAGCCCAATGCAGCTTCCAGGGAACTTGACACCTGTACAGCCGGGGCCCAAGGGCACCATGACCTTCGGGGGTCTTTATTCCTCCAAGGGCAAGTGATGGAGTGTGTTGGGCTCATGAAGAACACCCAAGAGGAGTGAGCCCAGAACAGAAGTAGACGTCTTCCCCATTTATCAGGCTGGGGTCTTGCACTACCCAAAAGTTCTGGAGTTGAAACACTCCATGAGAACCATCTATCATGATGTGAAGTGGAAAGATAAACAAATAAAAGAACCAGAAACAAAGCCCCAGTCAGCTGAGAGAAAATAGAAACCTTGCAGCCTTTAAGGCAATTCATGAATTCAGTAAACATTAGCAATGTACCAGGCTCCTGCTAGGTGCTGGGTTTGGAGAGACCTTAAGACACAGTCTAGTGAACTTCACAGTTTGGAAAACACAACCTAGTGTCCCATAACAGATGTGCAAAGTGCAGCAGGAACCCAGAGCTCAGAGCAAACCCTTGCCTGGAAGAGTCAGGGAAGCTAGGGTATGGTGATGCTGGAGTTGAGTCTTAGAAGGATGGATGAGTTCTCCAGGCAGAGAAGAGGTGGAAGGACATTCTGTGTAGAAGGAACAGCTTGGGCAAAGGTGTAGAATCTGAAAGAGCTGGGTTTCCCCAGGACACATGAGCTCAGTGGTTTGGAGGAGGGGTCAGAGTGTCTTTGTGCAAGGTGTGGAGGAGCAACCAAGGGAAAGTCAAGGAGGAGGAGCTGGGGACAGAGTTGGCATTTGGTCCTCCCCCTCACAGTTTCTGTGGTATCAAACGGAGGTAATGTGACAGTTGATTTCCCTTCATGATCAGTTTCACCCAGGAGCAGCTATGTGAATGAGCCACAAGAAGTAATTCTCCATCTGGTATAAAAATATCAACAATGGAGGCGCCTGGGTGGCTCAGTGGGTTAAAGCCTCTGCCTTGGGCTCAGGTCATGATCTCAGAGTCCTGGGATCCAGCCCCGCATCGGGCCTCTCTGCTCAGCGGGGAGCCTGCTTCCTCCTCTCTCTCTCTGCCTGCCTCTCCGTCTACTTGTGATCTCTGTCTGTCCAATAAATAAAATCTTGAAAGAAAAAGAAAAGAAAAAAAGAAATTTATTTAAAAAAATATATATATGAACACTGAAGAAGCTGGATTTCCCAAGGCCACAGTCACAGCAGGACAAATTTGAATTTGCTCCTCTGGGTCCTGCATTAGGCCTCCCGGGCTCGCTGGTCCACAGAGAAGAAATCTTTTAGATCAGCACTCCATCATGCCCCGTTCCCTTTGTGGAGAACCCTCTGGGGAAATGCTGCTGGGAAAACAGTGTTATATGGCCCAACTAACCAGCCTGGCTCCAGGCCAACCATTGGTCCAGTGGCCCCTCACCTCCAGCGTCTGCTGCAGGGACTCTGTGAGGTGCCTCAGCTCCTTCTTCTCTTGCTCCACACCCTTGAGGCATCTTGCAGTCAGCTCGAGCTCCCTGCAGGGACAGAGGGCTGGGTATGGCTGTGCCCACCTCCCCTCCTAATCCCCTCTGCACACAGAAATGCTTCTGCTTCACCTCCCGATATGGCTCAGAGGGGTCCTTGGAAGGCCAGTCCCTCTCTGTGTGGCAGGGTCCTGACAGCAGCTGTAGGGACTTGGGGCTGAAAGAAGGAGATGCCAGCCAAGTGGGGTTGAAGTCACGTGCTCCAGGTACACAGGTGTCTGTCAGATGGGATAAACCCAGGACCACCCCGCAGGCAGAGAGAAGCACTGGAGAAACCATGGCGATCCTGGCCCCACCTCCTGCCTTCTGCAGACAGAGCCTTCTAGAACCCCTACTCACTCTGAATTGGGACATGGCTGAGGCCCCTCTCTGGGGTGATAATCACCTTGTTGCAAGCCTGGGCCCCCTCAGGCATTTACTCCTGGTTTCCCTTCCTCCTGCCCAATTTCTGAAAACCTACCCATCCTTTAAGGTCCAGCTCAATCGAACCTCTCTTTTGCCCACGAGGATCACATGTATACCTTAATTCCGATGACACAGGGAGTCTGCACTGTGCCTCCTAATGGTTGATTATATATTACTGTGTTAATGTTTCCTGGGTGTGAGTCTGGTTTTCCCAACCAAATTGTAAGATCCTTCACTGTAAGATAAGAGAACTTATCTTCTATTCCAGTATCTGGCACAATTCTGAAGATAAGCAGGTGCTTGGCTGTTTACTTGTTAAGATTCTTGGAGCTTCTCCTTCCCCGCAGCCATTGTCTAACTGACTTCCTTTTATAAGGTTGTTACAAGAAAAGCCTTTCTGAGCTAACACCAATTATCAGTAGTGATGATGAGGAGGAGGGTGACAACAACCCCCACAACAGAACCCAGAGCATTAGTCTCCAAATCCATAGATAGTCCAAATTAGAGTGACCTGGAGAGCTTTTGAAAATACAGCTCTCTGGGCCCTACCTTCAAGAGATTCTCATTCTGTTACACGATTGGAATGTGCAACTGGGTGACTGGGTTTGCAAACCATACCCAGGACTAAAGATCCCAAGGGACAGAATTAGCCAGAACAAGAAGAGGGGATGTTGGGGGGTCTTGGTTAATAGCACCTCCTGTCTGCCCCTGGGTAAGGAAGGCTTGACAGAGGCTTGACAGAGGCTTGACAGAGACAAGAGGGGATTGTTGCTGGTGGGGAGGGAGCGCTGGTCTGCACCTGCCCGTGCCTCACGTCCAGTCTGTGTGGGGTCTACAGCTCCTTCTGGGCTACCCTGAGGCCTGGAGCACTGGTAAGAGAGACCCAAACCAAGCCATCATGTAGTGAGGCTCTGCTGGCCGAGAGCTCCCCAGACCTGACGGGAAACATGGGTTCTCACCCTCTGTCGGAGGCGCACCTCCCTCCCACCCCTTCCTGGGCACCACCCCCACCTTTTGATCTGCTCCTGCTCCATTTTCAGTTCCTGCACCACCTCCTCAAACTGCTGCTTCTCGGCTTCCAGCACCTGGTTCAGGCGTTCAAGCTCCTGAGGAGAACCAGAGGGGAAGAGAAGAGTCATGGGCAGTGAAGGACTCCTGAGGTCGGAACCACTGCTCTTGTCCAGGAGCCCCCTGGGATGCAGTCCAGGCCAGGCTCTATGGGATCAGACTCGGGGGCAAGTCCCAAGGAGGCTTGGTCCCACTCAGCGACACCCAGTCTCAACAAACCTAAGGTCTGTGAGGGGTTTGGCCTTATCAGACACACTGAGCTTGCTGCCGCCAGGGTTTAGAAAGTTGTTTCCCTGGGACTGGAGGTGGAGATCATTCTAGACATCTACTCTGCCAGATAACTCCTGTCGCTAACACCCTCAGGCATGCTGGCCGGCTCTCAAGTGCTAGAGGAAAAAGGGATGAGTGTCTATTCCCATCAAAGATCCCTAGAGTGCCATCTGTGAAGGGTGGCGAAGAAAAGCCATTTCCCCAAAGGCAGAAAATCAGGGCTCTTTTTTCCTCGGGGCTTCTAGAAAGCAGCCCAGTGGCTGCAACTTTCCCTGTGCTCGGCCCAAAGGGCACGGGAGAGCCAGAAAGTGCCGGGCAGGCCCCCAGGCAGGGCCAGACTTGTGCTGTCAGGAATGCTGGCCAGCACTGTCTTTTTCCAGCAAGTATGTGCCCTCCACGGGCCCCGTTTTCCCAGGCCTCACTGGCAGGTGGAATTGCAGGGTGCGCTTGGAGAGAAGCTTAGCTGTTAGCAGTTTTACGACAACTGCTTTGCTCCTCCACAGTTCACACTGCGGGAAGATAGAATTTTCTGGCACTTCAGATGCCAGCAGACCCTGGCGACGCCTCTAAGAACCAGAGAGTGAACCAATGCTCCTGAAGATAACACGCCCAAACAGTCATCTGGCTTCTCCTACCCCTCCTCCCTGCATTGGCCCCAGGTCTGTGCGATACATGCTTTTCCCACCTGAGTCCGTAACCACGGGCCCGGCCCACACTGAGTGCTGGGCAACAGTCAGAGAAACGGGAACCCATGAATCAGAGCCCTCTACAGTCAAGGGCACTTAAAAGGCGCGTTTGTCTTCGTCAGACCCTCGAATCCCTGGATCAGTTTTCCTGCCAAGAGATGGACCGGGTTCTGCTCGAGCGGCTTTCATGACAGGGAACTCGCCCCTTCAGACGGCCTGTTTCGCTCCAGAACAACCTGCTCACAGCTCTTCCTTCCGGGTTCAACCTCAGCATGGGCCCTCTCTGAAAGCTACAAATACAGATGCATTGAGGAAGGGCCCAGAATTTGCCACAAGTTTTGTGGGGTTCAGAGGAGAGGGCTGACTCTTGTTGATGGAGCAAAACTTCCCTCCAGTGCTCCTGTCGCCGCCTCTGTCCTTGGACCACGCTCTCTCCCTTCAGCATCTGCCTCCCTTGCTGGGAACTTGCTGTCCTCAGCTACCATTCCTCAGCCTTGAACCCTGAAGATCCCAGCCAGCAAAGGAAGAGCTGGGGAACGGCGCTTAGCAAAACAGAAGACTGGCAAAGCCAAGGACACAGCCAACTTGTGGACACCCTGAGTCCTCCAAGTACACCTAGGAGAAGGGGCAGCCCATTTCATCCACCTGGGCCAACTGAGCCCAAAGCTGCCTTCTCGTAACATCCATCGGCAGGTCCGGCTTCTCCCCTCAGATCAATAGAACAAGACTGATCCGTTTTCCCTTCAGGTGTTGGGGACGGCTCTTCTGTCCCCAAGTCTCCTCTCCTCCAAGCCAGATAATCCCTGCCCACCATGCTTCACTGCATTATTTCTAAATCCCCAGCTTTTGAAAAGAATGCAGGCCCCTGATTGGGAAGATTATAGTAAAGGTTCTTCCCAGTTAATTTACAGGCTCAATGCGATTTCAGTAAAAATCCCAATGAGATTTTTTTTTTTAATGGTTTCATTCATTCATGCTGCACATATTTATTGGGTGCTTAATATTGCCAAGCACCTGCCAGGCTCCGCACTGAGGATGTGAAGATGAGGAAAACCAGACACATCTCAGTTCTCACGGAGCTTCCAGCTCAAAGCAAGAATCAGAAACTAATAAAATAAGTACACACGATAATATGTTTACAAACCAAGGCCCGTGATGTGCAGGACAGGGACACAGGCCTATGGAAAGCTGCCTTGGACAAGAAGGAGGATATGACTAGTGGGGGGAGCAGAAGGTGGATAAGAGGGAAGAACATACCAGGAAGGAGGATCAGTATGTGCAAAGGCCCTTCGGAAACCTCCTGCCCCGAAAGAAGCAAGACAGACTCATACAGCTGGGCCCAGAGTGAGGGTGGGTGGGAGGAGTCTAGGCCACACAAGGCCTTGGGCTATGCTGGCGATTTGGGTCTTTTTTCCTGAGCAAGAGCAAGATTTTGGGCAAGGAGTAGGCGAAGAAGGCGGGCAACAGAATCTGACTTTCATTGTGAACTGTGACTCTGGCTACAGCATGGAGAAAAGGGATGAAGAGGGGCCTGGAGGGATACAAGGAACCCAGGTGGGAGGCCACTGCCTTAGTCCAGCAAGACCTGGTAATGTGAGCCAGAACAGGGCAGTGAAATGTAGAGAAGTGGCCAGGCGGGTTCAAGAGCTTGTGGGGGCAATGCTATCAGACCTTGGGAGAGGCATGACTCCCGGGTTTCCAGTCTGCACCAACAATGGATGGTGGTGAATTCCTTGAGATAGGGAGCTCTCGAGGACCACTAGCTCTGCTGGGGAAGATCATGAGTGCCCTTGGACTTGCTGAGTTTGCAGTACTTTTCAGACATCTGGCTGGAGATGTGACATCAACAGTTGGATATTAAGGGGCTGGAGCTCAGCAGAGAAAAGGGACTGCACCTGTCAATGGGGAGTCATTTGCACGCACACAGGAAATGAAGCCAGAGGTATGGTCTCGACTGACTTTGGATGTAGTGCAGAGAGAAGAGAGGGTATGGGATCTACTCTTAGAGATGGGCAGTACTACCTTGTAGGGTTAAAGGGAAGATCACATGAGTTAATCTATGCAAATTGTCTGCAACATAGTCAGTGCTTAATAAAGGATAGATGGTATTATAAACCAAAACTGTGTGGTATCTGTTCACGGATAGACAGCAATTCAAAGGAACAGAAAAGGGAATTCTGAAACAGGTCTTGTATGTGATAATAATTACAATGATGGATAATATTCTCTGTGAGCTTACTGTTCTAAGTACTTTACACGTATTAACTCAGTTAATCCTCATAACAGCTCTGAAAGTGGATAATATTTTTATCCTCATCTTACAGATGAGAAAAGCGGAGGTAACTAAAGGTCAAGGAAACTTGTTCCCTTTTCCCCACACCATAGCTAGTCAATGATGAAGGAAGGACTCAAACGCAGGTAGCAGCGTAGAGCAAGAAGGAAATGGTTACACACTGCTGGGGAGAGTGAAAGCTGGTACAAATTTTCTGGAAAGCAATTTGTCAATATGCATCAGGAGTCTTAAAATTTCTTGCTCAGACTCAATGATTTCCCCCATTGGAATCTCTCCTAAACAATTAGACAGCAGACCAAGAGTTAAGTGTACAGAGATGTTTGCTGTGCCATAATTTAAAATAGTGAAAACAGTCTGGGGCACCTGGGTGGCTCAGTGGGTTAAGCCTCTGCCTTTGCCTCAGGTCATGGTCTCAAGGTCCTGGGATCAAGTCCAGAGTCCGGCTCTCTGCTCAGCGGGGAGCCTGCTTCTCCCCACCTCTCTGCCTATTTGTGATCTTTCTCTCTCTCTCTCTCTCTCTGTCAAATAAATAAATAAATAATAAAATCTTAAAAAAATTAGTGAAAACAGTCTAGGTATCCAAAGACAGAAGAGTAGTTAAATGGAACATCACATTGGATGAATCGGTATGTGGTCATAAAGAATGAAGTTTTCGAAGAATGTTGAATGACATGAAAACTTGCCAAAGGTACAATGTTAATGAAGGTATCATGAAAAAGCGGGCTATAAAACCAAATATTTGGACACCTGGGTGGCTCAGTTGGTTAAGCAACTGCCTTTGGCTCAGGTCATGATCCCAATATCCCGGGATCGAGTCCCGCCTCGGGCTTCCAGCTCCATGGGAAGTCTTCCTCTGACCTTCTTCCCTCTCATGCTCTCTCTCTCACTCTCTCTCAAATAAATAAATAAAATCTTTAAAAAATAAATAAAACTGAATATCCTATTATGTTGAAAATATGTATCAGAATAATATATATATAAAAATATATAATATATATATTTATATAGGTAAATATATATATATTTAAATATTTTATCTATTTAGAGAGAAAGAGAGCACAAGCAGGTGGAGGGAGAGAATGTCAGCTAGACTCCATGCTGTGTGTGAAGCCCACTGCAGAACTCGATCTCACAACTCTGAGCTGAAACTAAGAGTCCGGATGCTTCACTGACTAAGCCGCCCAGGCGCCCCTACAATAGTATGTATTTTTAAAGACTGAAGAAAAATACCAAAATGTTGGCAGCCGTTGTCCGTTGACTGTGGGACCGAGGATCACGTTTGTTTTCTGGCTGTTCTGCAGAGAGCATGATTTCTACTGTTGACAAGAAGGTTACGGACTAATGAGGACAAAGAAATAGAAACCTCTTCCCAGTCGCTCACTTCTTTTCCACCTTTCACTTCACCTGTGTGAGTCTTAACTAAAACTGATACCCAGGTATAGCCTGAGAAGCCTGGATGACAGCAGAATCTATAAACCCGGAGCATCCAGAACCTTCTGTTCCTGCAGCCAAGAGGGTCTGAGCACTTGGAGCAACCCTGCCACAGGCTGAGGTCAGCCAAGACCTACCTGCAGCAGCTGAAGCCTGTCTACGCCGTCTAGGGCTTGTTCCTCTGACCCTGGCGCCTGACCTAAGGTGTAGGAGATCAGGGTTGGAGAGAAGTCACCCGAAGGCAAATTCCAGCTCAAGGGAAGGAAGAGCTTTCAAACAACAGAGCAATAAGGCAGAGAATAGCTCCAGAGCTTGTGAGTTACCCATGACAGAATCAGGATATCATCCATCAGGGAGGTGAGCAGAGAACCTCACCCTGAAGTGGAAGGTTCTTTCCAACACCCAGAGTCTGTTCTGACCAGGAGCAGCCTGCGTGGCAAGATGCCTGCCTAACGGGCCCTGGGCATTTCTAACTTCCCGTGCACCTGCTCACAGGCAAGGCCGAGCTCTCAGAGTTCAGCCAGAAAAGGAAAGGCAGGCAGGCTGCCCTGCTCCAGGGGATGAGAGAGATGAGGTCACAGGGAGCCAGGGACATTGGAGGGACCTGCACCCAGGGAAGGGCATGGCCTCCTGCCCCCAGGGCAGATGAGCCCCGGTGGGGCGGGGTCCACCTACACTCTCTGCTTACATGTCTAGAGTCCCAGGGTCTTTCTTCCTGATGGAGGATCGTGTGGCCCCACCACACACGGCACACACCTTGAGAGGGCCTTGGGCGTCCCTGACGCACTCTGTAACTTCTAGTCACTGAGACTCACGGCAACCCAGGAGCTGGGCACAGTCGTTAACTCATCAGAGCATCACAGATGAAGAAACTGAGGCCCCAAGGCCACGCAGTCAGTGATGGAGCTGAGACTCCAATCTGAGTCTCCTGGCCCTGGACCTTTTCCTTCTGCCCGCCCACAGCCACCTTCGCTGTGGGAATCGGCTGGGCCGGAGGGAGTCACATTCATATCTTGGGCCACAAAACCAGGGAGTTCACAGCTGTCAGGCCTCATTCCTTCAACGTGCTATGGCTTTAAGTGAGGCCGGCGTGCGGTGGGTCTCCGCTGTCCTCATTTCCTGCCTAAAGACCTAGATAGAGTGTCTAAATTTTCCTCTGGCTGACTGCTGCCCCAGATTTAGCCTCTCTGATGGATAAGTCTGTCTCTCTCCCTGCCGGTGGCTGTGTCTGTCATTCCATCCCTTCCTCTGGCTTCCTCAATTATCTGTCTCTAGGTTGCTGACAATGCACCGGAAGTCCCGCTTCTCAAAGTGACAGAACTGTGTGAAGAAAATGCCAAGAGTCTCACACAGGACCTGGATGACAGCAGGGACACAGGGAGACCCACACACCCGCCGGGTGGGAGAAGGCTCAGCGCTGTCACGAGGCCAATCCTCAAATCCACGCAATCCTAATACAAATCCCCACTGGCTTTGGGGTTTTGTTTTGTGTTTGGTTTGGTTTGGTTTTCTTTCTGTTGCTGTGCATTGACAAAGTGAGTGTCAAGTCCAGCTGGAAGGATGAGTGGGCAAGAATATCAGATACCATTTTGGGGGGGGGAGAGAAATGAGGATGAATCGTCCCAGTGGATGAAAATCAAGATGTAATGTGAAATTATAAGAATCAAAAACGCTCACTCATTGAGTCATCCTGCATTTATCAAGCTCTCATCCCTGGCCAGCTGTGGTCTGGGCCCAGGGAATACTCAGGCTGCTCCAGGGAGGTGATGCGTCCTGACTGTAGGGTCTGCCTCAGAGCCCAGGGAGGGGTGGTCAGGAAAGATGCTTGGCGAGAGGAAAGTCACAGAGGCGGGCACTGAGCCGGGGCTGACAGGCCCGGCCCCATGAGGACAAGGAAAATCAAGGGGACAAAGAGCAGTGGGCTGAATCGGACTCCCCCTGTGGGCAGGCCACTCTGTAGCCTCAGGCCTCGGACAGCTCACATGCGGGATGGGCCCCTAGTTAATAATAATCTGAGCATGATACTGACAAACATAGGTATTCACTCAGCCCTATGTGCCAAGTATTTTATATGTAACATCTCACTTAATCTTCACAGCATCCTGAGAAGATGGGTTCCATGATCTCCATTTTTCATGTAAGAATAGGGACGTTCAGAGAGGGTAGGTAACTTGTCCAAGGTTGCACAGCTAGAAGCAGTAAAGATCAAACACAGACCTAGGCAGCCTCGCTCCAAGTCTGTATTGCTAAACACTCCCCGTCTCTGACCTTCAGGCGTGCTGATGGCCCTTCGGGACAGGCAAGGCCCAAGGCTGCATGGAGATTCTAAATGAAGGGGACTTCAGTGGCTCCCTGTCCTCAATGAGGTCAGGGTCTCCCTTTCTCTACAGGCTGCCCCAGGCTAATGTCCCATTAGCTTGGCTTTTTTGGTACTTCATTGTGTCACTTAGAGAAGGAAGGAACCCCTGAAATCATCCAATGCAATCACCCCGATATGCAGAAGCCCCTCTCCAGATCACAGAGGCCATGCCAGCCTCCCGCAAAGATCACCAGTGACAAGCAGCTCGTTACCTACTGACATAGCTCATACAATTTGGGGATGACTCTCTCTAGAAAGTGGTCACCTACGCTTTTCATTTTTGTCCCTGGGCACTGGCAAGAAGAAATACACTGCTGACAAGAAGCCCGAGCCAGCCCCAAGCACTGTCACCCCATGGCCTCTCTGCTCCACCTGGCTGACTTTCCAGCGAGTTCTCTGGGGGCCTTGCTCCCCAGCATGATTCCCAAATGCCAGAAACACAGGCCAGTCTACGAAGGGGCCACCAGAGTGGGACATGCTGGGGAGGGGCAGCCGTGCCGAGCAGCCCATCGCACCTACCTCTCTCTGCTCCCTCTGAAGGCAGAGTTCTTCTGTCTCCTCCATCAGCTTGTCTGCAAAGCAAGCACGCACCCTCTTACAGAAAGCTCACTGCAGCTCCGGAGAGGAAGGGGCCGGTGCCTTCCAGGAACCTCCTTCATTCCCAGGATCTCCCAGGGAAACGGTCCGTCCTGCCATGCCCAGGCTGGCCAGAGAGCCGAGCCAGCTCCTGGGGCTGGAAGCCACCGTGCTGGCCTCAGCTGCCACCCTCCTTTCTACTCACTGTCCCTGTTTATGCATTCATAAGGCAAGGATGGCCTCATCTTCAGAAGCTCAGGTGGGTGTTTGTACCCCCCTAGAAGTGCTGTTAATTGTGCTGCTCCTCAGATCACCACCCCTCTGCACTAGTGTCTGGCGGTGGGGGAGGGCAGGTCCTGGGGGGACAGGGCTGTCTAAGGAACCAGTGCTGATGTCCCAAGTGTCTAAGGAGGTGGCAGGGGAGAGGATCCCAGGTAAAGGATCAAACCCCCAGTCTCACCTTCTTTCCCAAACAGAACATGTTGGCCAGCCAGTCACCAGCACAAGGTCAGGTTTAAAGTGAGCTGGCAGGTAGGAGGGATTAGGGGCAAATCCGGGACCTGGGGACCCACGGCAGGATAACATCAACTCCATTTATGGGGCCCATACCATGTGGGCAAGAAATAAGAACTTTCAGGCATGTTCTCATTTGCCCTGGCCCTCCGCCACCTCTGAAACCTAGGGACTATTCTCGTCTCCATTTTAAGGATGAGGACATTGAGGCTTATGGGGGCTACACTGCGTGGGGACACACAGCTGACAGAGAAGGGGCAAAGCTGTGGCCAGAGCTCAGGCTCCTGGCCACCAGGTCCTCCTGCCCCCTGTCATGCTGGCCAAAAGGACACAGGTTACAAGGTCAAAGCCTCTAGGCTTCCAGCTGGTCTGTGGCTCCCTATAGCTCGCTAAGCCCTGCCCCCGGCTCCACTGCCAAGCCCCGGCTCTAATCCCTGGCCCCAAAGTTCTTGCTACCTAGGGAGCCTCAGCTTCCGGTCCATCCCTCTAGCCAACCTAAATACTCCTGCTTCTCCTTGGCCAACTGCAGCCCCTGGGCCTCCAGGCTTTTGATCATGGCTTCTCCCAGCTGGGCATTCTTCCAAGTCCTGGGGAGGGAGGGCAGATGGGACAGAGAAGAGAAGAGAAACAAAATCGTCACAACGGAAGGCTGGCAGAGAAGGAGACTGGGCATGGTTTGCGCTCGCCCATCCCGTCTCCTCCAGAATCCCAGCCCCATTCACTCCGGCACCCATGGTTCTGGGCACGCCACCAGCATCGATCGGTTACTGTCCCTGGAGGCTGGCCCAGGCTGCGAAGTGGGCCACCGTGGACAGGGCCAGCAGCACTTGCGGAGCAGGGAAGAGATTGCTTCCCAGGCTCCTTCCACACCCTTGCGCGCCACCCCCAGGCACAGGGCCTGGTGTGGGGCCCGCTCAGTGTTATTTGTTGAACTGAAAGCATGACCCGGCGTGAACAGGCAGGTGCCAGGACAGGGGTTTATGTATAAACAGATCGTGCTAGGCTGGAGATTTCTATGATCTGGACTCTGGTTTACAAAGCACCAGCGTTAGGCTGTGCCAGGATTCACTGTGGGCTTGGGGAAGTGAGATGGGTGTCGGGAGGCAGCCAAATCCCCCGAGCGATGCTGGATTTGCTCCCAGGAGTTCAGGACAAGTGCTGTCCACGTCTGCCACCTGTGACTCCAGACAGGCCAAGCTCACTGTACTCAAAGCCCACTTAGCAGATCCCCCTGCAGATGCTCTAAACCTGGCCTGGCCTTTCTTCCCCACCCTAACCAGCATCCACAGCTCTGTTTCCAAGGAGGCCCAGCCATTTTTCTCCCTACCCTGTCCTTTCCTGGGGTCTCAGTACCCACCCAAGATCCCAGTGGAGAGGCAAGGAGATCAGGGTGGACCCAACCCATAACCATTCCCTTTCGGGACCTGTCCCCCTGCCTATGAGCACTTACACCTTCCCGGACTCCTGTAGCATCTCCAGCCACTGGGTCTGCTCAAACTCGGACTCAGCAGCCAGCAAGATGTTGCCCTGCCAGGAAGAGGAGCCACAGGTGTCCCTGAGGGGAGGCCACTCCCGGGACGTCAGAGACCACCCACAAGGCCCCAAGGGCCCAGCTCTGCTCCTCCATCACACATCCCTAGGACATGGACACCCTCCCAGGCCAGGCCACTGGACAGGCTGCCCCTAGGGAGTCTGGAGGTCCTTGGAGAGGCTGGTCTGCCCTGCTAAGTCCACGCGAAGGGGAGAGTTTACTCACATGGAAGTCCTGGTGGGAGATTTTCATGGCATAGGGCATGCTGGGTTCCTCCTTGGCCTCCACCAGGCAGCCTCCTAGGGGGATGACGCCCTGGGAAAGAACCAGAATAGGCAGCCCCCACCCCGCCCAAGTCACTCAAGGCCTCTGGGAGCCCTCAGCCAAAGCCAGGTCCTGCCCAGCACCCCAGGCTGGGAGCCAGACTGACTCCCAAAAGGAAGAGGAAGGGCTGGGGCAGGCTCTGGGGCACAGGAGGGTGGGGGCCAGCCCAGGAGAGGCAGGGAGTCTTGTGCCCCAGGAAGGATTTGTTCTCCAGACTCTCTGCTAGACCAGAGCAAGAAGAGAGAAGGTCTACCCTTACAGGATATGCTCCCCCATTGTCCCCACGAGACCCTCCCCCCTGTGGCCCTGCGGGGAGAATGCCTCACCTTAGGATGTATATTGAAGTATTTATTGCTTTCAAAGTTCTTTTTCTCGCTCTCAGAGTAGTAAAGAAGAAAGCTCTCCTTGATGATGAAAAACCTAGAGTGGGTGGTGGGAAGAAGAGGCAACCAGGAGGGAAGGCATGAGGTTTCTTGGGACAGTAAGAAGGCCTCGGAGGTCCTGCCACCCTGGGGACACCAGCTCAGACTCATCACCAACTCACATTCCCCATCTGGGCCAAGGCCTCAGCTGGCCAGTCACCCACCGAACGGCCTGGCCCTCGCCCCAGTGGGAAGCGGAAGTGGGATGCCCACAACGGGCCTCCATGTTTGGCTACCTCCCTCCTGCCACACTGGCACTCTTGGCACAGGAGGGCACCTGTAATCCTTCCCCTCTGGTATCTTCAACCCCTTGAGCCATAGCTCTAGTCGCTTAGGGTCTCCCCCAAGAGAGGGGGGAGGAGGGAAAGAAGAAAGCTTTCTCACCATTTCTGCCTCTCAGCCTCTCTTTTCTAGGAAACACAGAGCTTTGGGAGGCCTCCCTCCTTACTAACGGATTGTGTAAGATCCCAAGATGCGTCTTCTGACAAGTAATCATGAAACTGGCGATGGCATGGAATGTGGGTATGAAGGCCCACCGGCCACGTGACCTTTCCTGAGGCCGCAACTGCAGGGAGAGGGTCCCCGGGGCACCCACAGCTGCCACCTCACCTTTCCCAGGAAAGAGAAGCTCAGCTTTGTCCTGTGGTGTGAGCCCATCGCCAATCCTAGTTCTTTATTTATACCGACCCTCTTGGACCAGACAAACACCGAATGGAGCTGTGGACATCCTGCCAGTGCCCTCCTCCCCCAGGCCTCTCTGCCCATGATGGAGAAAGGACACCAATACCACCTTCTGCCCAGATGCAGGGACAGTCTGGGCCCTCCAGCACCTGACCCCTGTGGGTTTCCCGCCACTTCTGCCCTTCAGCCTCTCTGTCCAAGCCAACACTGACCTTGACCTCACCACCCCGCACCTGACTACATTTTGTACAGTCCTGCAAAGGAGATTGTGCCATCCTCCCCGGAAAGCCCTGCCTATTGCTTTTCATCTGGCATCCCCCTTCCTTGGGAACCTGCCCAGCCCACAGTGCCATCCCAGCTCCTCCTGCCCTTGCTGACTGGGTCGTGTGCTGGGCCCTTAGCGCCCGTATGCGCAGGTGTTCATCTTGTCCTGAGGGGATGCTGGGCTCCTGAGGGGCAGGGGCATGCCCTCTCTGATCCACAGGCCAAGGGAGAGGCCCCCTGCTGGTTTCTGAGAAACTTCACAGGGTACTTAAGAACACAGGCTTTGGCACCGGACAGACTTGGCATGTCCCAGCTGGGGGACCCTGGACAAGTTAGCTCACTTCTCTGAGCATCAGTTTATTGACCTGTGGAATGGGGATGATAACACCTACCCCAGAAGAGCTGGAACAGTTTAAGTGGCTATTTGCCCCGTCTCTGGTGTTTTGTTACGGCAGCCTAACAAAGACAAATAGCTCTTTCCTTCCTGACACTTCCGGAGTCCCCTCCCCACCGAGGGTACAGTGCTGTGCCAGGGACGTAGCTGGGGAGGAGGGACAACAGGTGGATGGTCACTGGCCACAATGGGCAGGGAGACAACAGGGGCTCTGGCGTCGAACAGCCCCCATCCCTCAAGCCACGATCTCAGGCAAGCTCTCAGCTTTGCTCAGCCTCCCTTTCAAAGCTTCTCTATAACATGAGGGGTGCAAATATTTGTCTCTCAGGGCCGCTGTGAAGACTCATTGCTGAGCTCCCGTTGTGTGCCAGGCACTGTACTCGGTGCTAGGGAGCGAACTGTGGGCAAGAGAGACACATAGAGCTTATAGTTGAGTATGTGTGCATGGGCGGGCAGACGGTAAGTAAGCAAGAGAGAAAGTCCACGTACCAGATACCAACAAATGCTCGGGGGAAAATAAAGTGGGATAAGTAACGGGGTGAGTGGTGGGTGGGGGTTTCGATATTAAACACGGTGCTCAGGGAGAGCCTGATCATGAAGGTGACATTTAAGAAGATGCTCCCGGCAGAGAAGCCCCAGGTGCAAAGGCCCTGAGAAGCAAGTGGGGCTCTGGAAGGAATCGTGAGGCTCACAGCATGGCTGTAGCACGACCCGATAACAGGGCCCATGAAGGGTCCACACACCATGCACACCAAGGCCAGCCTCGCGTCAGCTCTGCTCAGCTTGGTTTGGGTGGGTGTGAAGGTCAACGGAGAGGAGCCAGCATGAACCTGGAGGAGAGCGACTCCGCGGAGGGCAGGGGTGAGTATCGCCCAACAAAGGGTGCATTCGGCCAGTACACTTCCAGGTCCCAGGAGCCACCTTCATTCATAAACCTGTCTCAGTGACAGCCCTTGCTCCCACTGATGACGCCCAGCTTCCTCTCAGCAGGTGAGAGCCCAGAACCTGAGTGGCCCGGCACAGAAGGACACTTCTTCCCGTCCCTTTCTTCAAATTCCCCTTGCTCCCAGACACTCTCATTCTCACTGTGAGCCAGAGGCATCTCCTTCTGTGCCCTGTGGAGTTGGCAGACTATGCCAGGGCCGAGACGACCCCCATTATTTAGCTGTTCTCGTGTGCTGGCTCCCCTGATTAGTGTTCTGAGTGTGCCTGAGTGTTTGATCGAGGTCACAATCCTGGAAGACAGATTTGCTCCCATTTGACAGATGAGGAAACTGAGGCCCACAGCAGAAATAACGTGGGCAAAGTCACCCAGCTTGGGCAGAGATGCAGCTGGGACAGGAGCCTGCAGACCACAGTCCCTGCTCCTACTTCCCACACCGCCCCTCGTGCGGAGCCGCTTCTGCTCATGCCCGCACCAGGCAGGAAACCAGCCGGAGGCAAGAGGTGCTGAGGCTGGGGAGCCCCAGGTCAGAGCTCTGTCACGTACCAGCTGTGTGGCCAGGGCAAGTCACCTGGTCTCTCCAGGCCTCAGGTCCAAGTGTGACCGAGGACAATAATAGCACCTACATCTCTTAGGGTTTTCGGGATAAGTAAATGAGCTTGTTCACATAAAGACGTAGTATATTGTGACACATGGTAAATATTCAATAAATACTTAGTTTTATCACTGCTGTTATTATTTATTGTGGTTATAATAAATATTATTTATTATTATTTATATTTTAGGGTCTGCGGCAGGCTGCCCCGGCCTCTGTTCCCATCTCCCCTGCCACCCCACTGGCTCCTACGGGCAGCAGCCTTCCATCCAGGAACAACTTCAGGCCTGACCGGAGCTCTGTCTGCAGTCCCAGGCCTCTCCCTGGCAGCCCCGCTAGTGAGCCCCACTCCACCGGGGTGCAGCCCAGAGCGTGTGAGGGGAAGGGTCTGGTCAAGGCCACAGCCTCCTCTCTTAGGCCCTAAAGGATGGTATTTGCATGTCCAGCTAAATGATCATTTGCAAGGTGCCAGGACGCTCACTTTGGCAAGTATTTCACTGGCATTATCTTTTTCTATCTCTCACAGCGACTCTAAGAGATGGAGGTATTTGTGCTTCTGGATGCTGGTGACTTAGTGGAGGCACAGGGAGATCAAGCAGCAAGGGAGGGGTAGACTGGGAAGTCGGCTCGGTCCACTGACACAGCTGATGTTCTGGACTGTTGTGCTCTGGGATGGCCGGTCCTCATGGCTCAGCCTGACCCTCCCGATCCCTCCTGCTTGCAGTGGCTGTTTTCCTAGAACTCATCTCGGAGGACGGATGGCAAGCTCCCGGTCAGCTCAGGTCAGGAGGCATTAATGAATCACCGGGTACAGCCAAGTCCTCAGCGGGCCTCTGGGGCTTTCTGACTCCCTGCCCTCAAGGAGCTGAGAGTCGAATGAGTACAGGAGAGACCGGGTAGAAATCAATCCTTTAAAAAAACAGCTAATGCTTATCGAGCCTCTCCTTTGCACCAGGCGCTGTTCTGGTAACATCATTATGTGTGTTAACTCATTCGTTCCTCACATGAGTGAGGCAAGGTAATGAGCGCAGAGAAGTTAAGTCATATACCCTAGGTCACACGGCTGGTAAGTGAGGGAGCTGGGATGATTATAAGGCACCGGTGCCAAGCACCAGCACACCCTGGGACACTGTAAAGCACGCAGATACACGCTGACGTTGCCAGTTTGTATGAGGTACAAGAAGAGTATAGACCATAGAGAAGTGATGGTTTAGGTGTCCAGTGAAGAGAATTCTCAGAGGAGGTGACAACTGAGCAGGGTTTTGAAGGCTGAATAGGAGTATCTCAGGACTCTGGGAGGAAGGCAAAGGGAGAAATGCATTCCAGACAGAAGGAACAGCACATGTAAAGAATCATGTGTTCAAGGTCAACAAAACATGTCTGGTATTACTGGCAGATGAATAGAAAAGGGGTAGGCTGGGGTTTGGGGAAAGATAGTAGGGGGTGAGTGAAGGTCAAAGAGAGAAGCAGGGACCAGAGCAGGGTGGGGCTGCTTCTTGCTGATGAGGGCAGCTGCCGGCTTAGGTGACCAGGTGGACACCAGTGCCATCCAGTACAAACAAGGGAATCTGGGAGGGATTTCCTAAGCTTTGTCTCCACCTTTTACTCCCCTCCTCAGTGCTCTGAACACAACGAGGGCTCAACCAGAGCCTCATGGTCAACACTGGCCTCATGGTCAATCCAGTTGGAAGTGAGAGGGCAGGCAGTACACTTAGACCAACGGGTATCTTCAAAGTTGGGCAGATCCTGTTTAAGAAAGGGATCCACTCTGCTGAGCTCCTTACTCTTTGGAAAGGCAAAAGTCAAGTTTGGGAGTCAGGACCGGAAAGGGCCTTGGAGCACAGAGCGAGAGCAAGTTGGAGCCAGGGGAAATCCTGGAGGGCAGTGGGGAGGAGGTTGATGGGGGAGTGCAGAGGAGAGAGGACCCAGGGCAGATGTGACAGTCTGGGTCCTACAGTGTCAAGAGACAGTGGTGAACAATCCCATCTCCAGGGGTGGCAAGATGGGGTGTCTGGAAGCCTTGGGGGGGAAAACAGGGAGCCAGCATTCAATGAGACAGGGTTCACACTTCTGTGATTTAAATGCCTCTTCCGTCGTTTTCTTTGCCAAACCTTCTCTTCG